CCTGTAAAGCTATTTAAGCAAAGGAGAGATATTTTAATAAGTACATTTGGGAGAGACTTCAGTAATATACCAAGGAAAAGCATGCTCAGTGATTAGCTATAGAACAACGAGACAGAATATGGTGAGCATAGTGTGTCAGGGGTATACCAAGGGAAGAGGAGCCTGAGAAGGAGAGTGAGGAGAATTCAATAAGGGGTTCAAAAGATTTCTTGACCTAGAACACTAGGGTTCAAAATGATTCAATGAGTTTAATTGATTCCATTTTATTTTTTAATTAAATCACATAATGGCAGAGAGCACAATTGGCAGAGAGCACACTTGCTCTAGATAATTTTATGGATAATTGTGTCTAATTTGAGGATATACTATATCCAGAATAAAAATGATATGGACTAACATTATAAAAGAACACCTTTAGTTTCTAATAATGTAAAATTAAATGTGCTGTCTATTCAGATTGAACTTGTCCCTAAGCAGCTCTAAGCACATTAAATATAAAAGCAAAGCCATGTTTTCAGTAAGACACACAGAGGCAAACAACAAGCAATGTCATTTCCTATCTGGCTCTGCTGCTTGTATTTTCAGGTCAGTCTGATGTTCTATTCCTTCCCCACTGATCTCTCATTTTTAGGTGCAAGTGAGTTAATGGTAGTTTTCTCCTAAACACGCCATATTGTTCTTGTCATGGCCAGCTCCATTCTATCTGGTAAATTTCTGATCCTCCTTAAAAACTCAACTGAAATGCCCAAGTCTCTGTCAAGGCCATTCTAATGACTCAAGACATTTTTACTTTATCTTCAATGTACATACTTTTGCACATAATTAACATGCACCTTCTTCTTAGATACCCTGTTAACTTCTTAAGGACTAAAACTGTATCTTCTTATTCATCTTGAGATGTGTCCTCAGCATATAGAGGAGTATTAGGCACATAAGTAGGTACTTGAGTTGTTGTTCCAAGCATGCAAACCATAGCTACTGTGGGGATAGAACCTTGGTTTTGCTGTTGATTGCCCTATAAAGCATGGTAAATGACCAGTCATCAGCTTGTCTTTCTTAATGCTGTTAATCAGACCTCTTTTGAAAACATTAACATTTGTGGTTGTCATCTTCCCTTTCACCTGCCCAGGGTTCTGTGAGTGCCATCTTGTCTATTCAGTTGTCTTACACCTTCGCTAAAAGAGTGGTCTACACAACACTGACCTCTGTTGAAGAAATTTGCTTTTGCTCTCCTGATTTTTTTTAACCCTTTTAGTGTGCCGTTAAAAGCTCTAAACATTAGTTTTAGCCTTCTCCTTTGTCTATTTTTTTTTTTAAATCACAGAATATGGTTGGTGTGCTATATCTCAAAGAAATACTTTGAAAACAAAACAGCAAAAGAATCTTTAGTAAAGACATCTAATGTGTATCCATGCACTCTTTTGTAAGTAAGTTATAACATGTAAGATATTTGTTTTTTCAAGCTAAGAAACAAAAAATTAAGAGCTGCCTGATTTGGAACATAAATTACTACACTGAACATGTGTGCTGGCTGTACATGTACACATTTCCAGTGATTTTTTTTTTATTATTATTTGATGCTTTGGGTAAACCAAAAATGCTGGTATTTTAACATGATTTCACCCTCGTTTGAAAATTGGCTCCTTTGGCCGGGCATGGTGGCTCATGCTTGTAATCCGAGTACTTTGAGAGACTGATGCAGGTGGATTATGAGGTCAAGAGATCGAGACCAACCTGGCCAACATGGTGAAACTCATCTCTACTAAAAATACAAAAATTAGCTGGATGTGGTGGCACGAACCTGTAGTCCCAGCTACTTGGGAGGCTCAGGCAGGAGAATTTCTTGAACCCAGGAGTTGGAGGTTGCAGTAAGCTGAGATTCTGCCAATGCACTCCAGCCTGGTGACAGAGTGAGACTCCATCTCAAAAGCAATAACAACAACAAAATTGGCTTCTTTACCCCTCTACTTTGTTTTTGGCAATGCAAACCACACTGAAGTTGTCTGATCCAGTACCTCCTAACTGGAATTAGACAAAGAAAAAACTCATTTGCAGAATAATTGCATTGCAGAACAAATGACATCATTGGTAGTAAAACATTCTACACTTAGGTTTTGTTTTTCCATGACACTAGAGATCCATCATTTTTAGTGAAGCTAAAAATAGATTGTAATTTTATGCTTGTAAATAATGTCTCAGGCACAAGGATACTGGACAAAAATAGAAAGTAGAATTTGATTTTTAAATTAATACTGTAGACCAAAATACCCCTTCTTTACCTTATTGAATATATTTGAGATCCTGTTTATATTTCCTGGAGCTTCATAATATTTATAAAACTGGAATGGGGAAAGAGAATGCTTTATTAGAGGCTGTTTTTCCATAAAGCATCTGAGCACATTGCTGCTGTATTTTTAGTTCAATCTCTGTGAATATTATGTGCAGTGTATGGTCTCTCAATTTAAACACAACCCTGAAAAGTACTTCTTTGCCTTTGCCTTCAACCTTCATTTCAACATCTATTTTTTTATATGTGAAATGCAGTATTAGCAAGAAAAACAGATCTCCATCAGCATTTGCTTCTGAAACAGACCTAAGGAAGTTAGGTAATTCTAAATTTCTATTAAAAATATGGCGTAGAGGCCGGGCGCGGTGGCTCACGCCTGTAATCCCAGCACTTTGGGAGGCCGAGGCGGGTGGATCACGAGGTCGAGAGATCGAGACCATCCCGGTCAACATAGTGAAACCCCGTCTGTACTAAAAATACAAAAAATTATCTGGGCATAGTGGCACGTGCCTGTAATCCCAGCTACTCGGGAGGCTGAGGCAGGAGAATTGCCTGAACCCAGGAGGCGGAGGTTGCGGTGAGCCTAGATCGTGCCATTGCACTCCAGCCTGGGTAACAAGAGCGAAACTCTGTCTCAAAAAAAAAAAAAAAAAAAAAATATGGCGTAGAACTTGATATTAGATATTTCATTTAATAAATTTTTTGTCTCCTTATTCTTAATAAAAACATTATTCCTTTTGACTTTCTTTTATGAAAATTCTTTGGCTAGGAACTGTTAAGAAATCTACAAATAGAGCAAATACAGATATGCTGGTGCTCATTCCTTACTTCATGGTGGCTTCGTTTAATAGTGGCATTTTTGACTCTAGGTCTCCAAAGAGCCTCAAAATACTTTTCTTTTTGCCTTCTGAAACCTCCTTTCCTCCCCTCTTCGTGTTCTTATTTTTTCTCCTGCAAATTAAAACTGCAGTGCCATAAAAATAAGGCATATTTGGATGAATAGAAGGATGGATAAAAGTATGATAAATCAAGTATAGTAAGTTGTTAATGGTAGAATCTAGATGGAGGGTATAAATGCATTCACTGTAAGTTTCTTTCAGTTTTACTAGAGGCTTGAAAGTTGTCATAATAAGATCTCTTGAAAATGATTACCCATGAAGGGTGGGATGACAGCTTTTACTTATTCTGTGTTTAAATATTGTACACTTATTAGAGAAAAAAATGAAGATAATTCTTTTAAAAGCTACATGAATCTGTCTTCACAAATGAGGTCATCAGACTGATGACTTAAATATTCTTCATATTTGAAATTTACATTAATCCATGCTAAATAATTAAGGATGTGATGAAGGAATCAGCTGTGTATGATGCTCACATCATTACAATAGGAAATTGGATACTTCAATTATAGCATATATATAGTGAATGGAATACTATGCAGCCAATAAAATATACAGATAGAAACAAATGCACTGACATGGAAAGATATTTGTAATTTTCATATTTCATAATATAATATTTTATATTTTATACTTAGCTAGAACACATAAAATTTATGAATATAACTGAAAGTAACCATGCATACATATATATATAAAATGTTACCTCTGAATTATGATGTTATGAATTTTTTCTCATATTTTTTATTCACATTTAAAAATTTCTCTTAAAATAATATTTGGCCATGTTTTTTATGTAACTTTGTAACATAATAAAGAGGGAAAATGGAAAAGAGAAAAAAAGAGAAAGGTCATGTCATTTTTCTGTGAAAAAGAAGCAAGGAGACCTTAGTATGCTTAATTTTTTATCAAACCAAAAAGATTATCTGGATCCTTTTATCTATATCATGGAAATCTGCTCTCTTACATTTTCTTAATTTTAGTCTTATAAAGAATGCACTTGAAATATGTAAAAACAAATAATATTCATTCTTCTGCAGATATGTTCATGGACTTGACTAGCAGTTTTGAAAGGAAAGTTAAGATGTTTTTTATGTTGTGGGGCCCCAGGCATTTCATACTTGGAAATGGCTTATCTTTAATCTCTGGTTGTATTATATTACTATTACTGTCTCACAAGGAAAGGAAGCTTCAAAGCAGAAAACAGAAAATCCAGTTTCTCTCTAAATACAATAACCATTGATATATTTCAGACAATGTAACACCTATGTTTCAAGGTTTCCCAGTGTCCTACCCAGAAGAATCAAGAGTTCAAGGATGTGTCAATTAAGCAATAAAAATATTTTTACTTATTATGGATCTCTATAAGGAGATGTAAGCAATGTGTTGAAATTAGGTACTCTTTACAATATGTCTCTGAAAAAAGATAAAGGGAGAAGACAATTACTGTTATTTTTTCCATTCTGCCAACATTTTATTGGACACTTGGTTTTTGATCCTAGACTTAATATTTCAGTTATTGTTTCTACTCTTTAAAAGACATATTTTTCCCCATAGATTTTCTTTCAATGGCTATTGAAACAAATATTGGATAGAAATAAAAGTAAAACAAGCAAAAATAAAATCCATCTCGTGTTCTAGTCCTCTAACAGTCTGTTTGTTATATGGAATTCGTCGTTTATTCTTTTATATTATATGTGTGTGTTTGCTCCTCCCTCTCCTCCTCCTCTGTGCTGGTAGTCTATTTTGAGTGTGTCTTCTTGTTCCCTCAAAATATATAATGTTTTGTATTCTTTGTCTCGTGTTTTTCTCAGGTAAAATGTCCAGTGATCGAGCTTTGAGGAAGCAGCAACAGTTGAACAACCTTGTCTATATGGTAACAAATCAGGCCAAACCTGGTGACAGAATTGTGGATTTCTGCAGCGGTGGGGTATTATCTCTCTCCTTTTATCCTTTTTTTAGCCTTTCTAAGATTATATGACTTTTCTATATTACATTCAAGATCATGTTTTTATTTGGCAATATTGTGGTTTCAGAATCAGTAAAAGCTATGGGAACCATGGCTAACTTGTTTGTCTTACTGACTTTTTCAGGGCCATGTTGGAATTGTCCTTGCTCACATGCTGCCATCATGTCAGGTAAAGCCTGAATAAGAGATAAAAGGAAATATTTAAAAACTATACAGTTTGCCTATCCAAATTTGGCTTACTCCTGCTCTTGGAGTTTCTTATCATTCAACCAAGTCAAATATGTAGCACAGGCATTTTCTTTTCTTTGAAGTAAACTTTCTTAAGGAGAAAAATGTAAAGTAAGATCACAAAAGAGTTGTCAATTTTTAGAAGAGGTTTATATGTTTAAGAAATTTTTCAAAGAAATAGCTTTTATTGCTAAATAAAATAATTAAGATTCAACTAGTTTAATTCTCAGTATAATGGAAATACTGGCTTCTGAAACTTGCAGAGCATGTTCTTTTAGTATCTTGATTTTCATGCATTGCATCAAATTATAACAATAGCAAATTTTTTTAAGAAAAAAAATACAAAACTAATCCATCAAATGCTTTGCTTTTCTTGTTCTCATTAAGTCATTGTCCATATGGATTATTATTGTTGCAAATTTTAAAAATGCAAACACAATTTGTCCCTTGCTTTCACTCAATATGTTATCATAAATGTTTTCCCTGTTGCTAATAGTTTTACATATCATCATATTTCAGAGATGACCGAATGTATTTTTAAGTAAATATATCATAGTTTATTCAATCAGTGACACAATTTGTTAGAATTTTGTGCTAATTTTAGTCTTCTGCTATGTTGAATCAGTTTCTCACAGTGACCATTTTTTAGCATAAATGTCTGATTTTTTGTTTTGTTTTTAATACAAACCAACTGCAACAGAGTCTTTGCTAGTGAGCTCTCTGGAAGTTGTGAACGAATTGTAGTGAATACTTCTGGAAGAAAAAAATATGTGAAATAACTAATAGACTGAGCAGAATAACATGTAACAGAATGATGGTGGGGAGATGGAGAACAGCATTCTTTTGTTTTTAGAGAAAAAAACTGGAAAATATAAGGAATCCTGGGAGCAGAGGCAGGTGTTTGTTTTATTATTAAGGAAAGCAACAATTTCGTGATTGAGTAGGAGTGGGAGAGCTCACAGAGTAACATTCTGAAGAAGCAGAGTCAGGGATGTAGTATCTTTTCTTTTCCTTAATAGTTCTGGAAGCTTAGAAAGGTTGAAACCAGAAATGAGTAATCTTGTCTATAATAAAGGCTAGAAAGCCTTTGATACCAAGTATATACTAACAGGGTTTTTAAACAGATTTTTTTCTTACAGACAAATACAAGGACAAAATAAGAACTAAGAATGATAGTGATGAAAACGACTTAATTCTTTACATTTTTCTCCATTCAGACCATCTTCTCTGCCTTGATTATCACTGGAGGCTCCTAACTGGCCTCTCTGCCATCTGGCCTTGCTCCCACCAAGCCATACTATAAATTACAGACTACTAAAACTTCTTTTATCATAAATGCATGATCTGGATCCTATTTACCTCTGCAGCCTCATTTTTATCTTTCACACCCTGTCCCATCACCACTATCACCAAACTTGTGTACCAGTTCTCTCAGTTCTTCAAACACGCCATACTCTTTCTCATCTTGAGCCTTCATGTGTGTTTCTCTGCCTGAAAGACTCTTCCATTCCCTCAGCTGATTCGAATTCATTTTTTAGGGCTCAGTTAATATGTTACTTACCCTTGAAAACCTTCCTCAGTCATCAAGTTTGAGTGCTCCCATTAACATTGTTTGTCTTTGATTTAACACTTATCACACTATATTATTATTATTATTTGATGTTTTGTTTTTGTTTGTTTGTTTGGTTGGTTGCTTGGTTTTGAGATGGATTCTACCTGCAATACCCAGACTAAAGTGCAGTGGCATGGTCTCGGCTCACTGTAACCTCTGCTTCCCAGGTTCAAGCGCTTCTCCTGCCTCAGCCTCCCAAATAGCTGGGACTACAGGCACACACCACTAAGCCTGGCTAATTTTTTTATTTTTAGTAGAGACGGGGTTTTACCATATTGGCCAGGCTGGTCTCAAATTCCTGACCTCAAGTGATCCGCCTGCCCTCACCTCCCAAAATGCTGGGATTACAGGCGTGAACCACTGCACCCGGCCCTCACTGTATTATTATTGCATGTTTCATTTATATCACTATGCTGTAAGAATAGTTCAAAGACATTTCATTTTTCCTTTTTGTGCTAGATTATATGATACACTTCCTGCCACAGGATAGAGACTCAGTATAATACATTCTACATTACTAAAGCTATGAAATGTAGTAATAATGCTTTGCCTACTGTCTGAATTATGTTACTAAATGTACTATTGTTTTCTGGGTAAAATCTAGGTTACATTAATAGAAAACAAGGAATTATCATTAATTCGTGCTAAGAAGAGAAGTAATGAACTGGGTTTAAACAACATTTGGTTCATTCAAGCAAATATGGAGTATTTTACTGGGATGTTTAATATTGGAGTAAGTAATCAAGCAATTTTAATTTGTTTAATTAGCTAAATAGAAAAATTACATGCCTTAGAGTAAATAAAAAAGATAATGTGTTATTTGCTAAACAAAGAAATTTATAATTTTGGTTACTTATATTATCTATGAAGTATAGCATATTAATGAATATTATTTTATTCATAACACTTTGTCATAACATGATAGAGATAACATTGGCTCCTCTATCAGACCAGAATTTTGTTTTCTTCACTACAGTATCCCCAGTAGCAAGTGCTTAAAACTGGTTAATAATTGGATAATTGATTCTGATGAACATGACTTGCCTTAATATATTCTGCATTTTTAGAAGACAATGCAGAATAAAGGAAGAAAAGAAAAAAGAAGAAAAGTAACTTGTTAGTAACCTCTGAATACAAGCATTGCCCTGTGATGTTTTTTAGCTAAGATTTTATATTTACATGTATTTTGAGGTTCCAAGACAGAAAGTATATTGATCATGTTTCCAAACCCTTCCATCAAATTATTATTTAATTTTATGAAAAATCCCTGAGATACGTAATTCTGCTTGATCATTAAACCCCAAAGTTTTATTCTTTCTTGTAGAATTTGAGTTTTATAATGTGTTATTGTTGCTGCTGTTTCTTGTATTTGCTTTAAATAATTTTTTTCTGATTTGATAGGAATATACATTTTGATAGTAATACGGAAAAACACATAATATAAAGAAGAAATAACCTATATGCTTACTGTCAAGGGGTAAATACTATCAAAAATCTTTACTTTTTATATATTTATGCATACATATACATGCAAATTTACACATGTGTGGACATTGTGAAAACTATACTATATAGATCCTACATTGACTGAACATATCATAAATCTTTTACCTACTTTTTAATCATTCTTTTTGTTGTTCTTATAATGCAATTATTACTATGATGGGTATTTTATGCATCCTTTAAGAATTTTGATACATTTGCCAAACCACTTTACAGTAAGGTTCTTATTGACATCCTTTCTAATTACATATGTTCACATAAACACGGGTTGTCTAGGTGGAACTTTTATCAGCTTAAGTAGTTCAGACCTTTTATGGCATTTTTGATTTTTATCCAGTGAAGTTTACTTCAATATTGACTATTGCAAATTTGGGATTTTATTGTAAGTTTTTTCAACCTAAAAAATACAGGATTTGTTTCCTTTGTAGACATGATCTACAGTTTATATCTCTTTATATGTCTGGCTGTTAATAAAGAAATTCAGGAAAATGTAGACATGTGATCTAGAAATTTCAAATTAAAAATATACCTCTGCAGCTTTAATTTATATAAATGTTGAGGTAAAGTTTAGAGCTTCACCCATGAAACAAGCCATTAAATCAGTCCAGATATTACCAGTACAACGGACAGAATGGTAGAAAGTAAATATATACTGCTACCCTTTACTTACCTCACAAAGCATGGAATTTTCACCCTATGTCTGTTCCATCTGTCTCTTTGCCCTTTGTGACTTATAGATGCTAAATCACTCTAGCATATTCATGTAACTTCCAAGTGTATAATTTACTAACGCCAACTAAAAATGTATATATCTTTTTGGAAGTGAAATTTTTCTTTACATTTCATAATACATCTATTTTTCCTTTCATAATTACTCGTCAAGGTGTATAGAAAATGGATTAAAATTACTTAGAAGGTTAAATTAAAATTAGATTCACTCTGAAGAAAATAATTTGCCTAGGAGAGTAACTGAGGTATTGTCACTAGGTAAATCAAACTAAATGCATCGGGGTTCTAACTCCTGTGTTATATACATTCCAGTAAAAATAATGTGGCTGTTCAGTAAAAAACACACACAATTTTTAAAAATAGTGTGACTAGAAAGGAAATCAGAATAACCAGTTATTGGAAATACATTAAAATTGCATAAATTCATGGTTTTGTGATATTTCAGTAAGGGCTTAGTTAGCATTTATCTTTGCTTAGTAAATACTTTATTTCTTCCATTTACTATTTTTCTTTAGATATGAAAATAGTATAAACAAGAGTTTAAGGAAAGAATTTTAGAAGACTTAGAAACAACTATATCTTTAAGTTATTAAATTTTATAATATATGTATCAATACCCATGATCTCAAACAATATTACAAATATTTATTCACAAATGGTATTATATAAAGGGCTATGACTATAGAGAAATGCCCACTTTGCATTAAAAACAAAAACTGTATCAAGGCTAAACAGGCTGCCCACCAACATGTTAGCTGGAAAATTTCAGAAATAACAGTCATTTCAACCAGTTGATAAGGTACTGATTTTTAACAGTACTGGTGAATCGTTTCTATTCATCAACGTATATATGAAAATCTCAAAACAGTTTTATTTTCTAGTTATCTGTATTTGCTTTTTGCTGTTTTGCCCACAACATAATTTTTAATTATTGTTTATGACTCATCAGTGCTGACTGCTTAATTATAAGCTCATTTATATTTATGAGGTAAGTCTGTTAGTATACAATTAAAAGAAGCATGTGCAATTGAAGACTGTAATTCAGTAACACTTTTGATGAGTAATTATATAATCCTTGTTTTAAAAGATAAGGACCTCAAGAAATTATATATTCTGTGAGCACACTATTTAAAAACCACTAAAGCAAAATAAGGGACTTCTAAGATGAAAATAGTAGACAGAGGTATTTCAACCTCATTTCTCCCCAAAAAAGATCAGATCCCCAAATAACAAGAATCAGAAAAATCAAACTCTATCTATAATGAAGCTATATTGAACATTCTATAACTTGAATCACAATATGAAGTGTGAAGGTGAAAAGCAGACTGAAGAAAAATGATAAGTTATTGAGTAGAGGAGAAGGAAGATAAAATCTAAATGCATGACGGTTGGAGTGGCAAGAAGGCTCTCAGGTCGCAAGCTACTTTGCTCCCACAGAATCCCAGAAAAGTTTAGGAATTCAGGACATCAGAAACCTCAGAGGAAATGAATAGGGAGGGACTGAAATCATGTTTAATTTAAAATACTACTTAGATACAAGATTCCTGCTGTCATCTTGTAGAAACAAGAAACTACCTCTCACCAGCTCCTGAGAGCGACTGGAAGTTTATTCTCTGAAGAAACTGAACCAGAGAGGCACCAAGTACAGAGAGATCAGGCACAGAGGAGGGCAATGGTGATGTGCCAGACTAAGAATAAGAACTAAATGAGAATCTGCATGCTGAAGGATTGATCTCTTCCCTACCCATCTGCCTTCTAATTCCAAAACCACGGAAACCAGGATCATTTCCACAATCAGCAGGATTCAAAGATTCCCCTCTGTAGAAATAGAACTGCTGCCAAAGAACAGATTCTACATCTATAATTAAATAAATAAATAAATTAATTAATTAATTAAAAAGGCAGCAGGCTTCTTGATCACCCAATCACTAGTGAAGCCCATCATTTTTCAAAGCCTTACCCTTTCATTCAGAACTTCCAATCAACTTTTTAGTGGTTTACTCTTTAATATGAAGGGCTAAAGGAATACCAAACATGGAAAACTTCCAAAATGGAAGATAGAGACCTGTATTAGTCTGTTCTCACACTACAAATAAAGACATACATGGCGACTGGGTAATTTATGAAGGAAAGAGGTTTAATTGATTCACAGTTCCACATGGCTAGGGAGGCCTCACAATCATTCGGGGAGGTGAATGAGGAGCAAAGTCATGTCTGACATGGCAGCAGGTAAGAGTGTGTGTAGGGGAACTCCCCTTTATAAAACCATCAGATCTTGAGAGACATACCACTATCACGAGATAGTGAGAACAGGATGGGAAAGACCTGCCCCCATCATTCAATTACCTTCCACGAGGTCCCTTCCACAACACATGGGAAATATGGGAGCTACAATTCAGGATAGAATTCGGGTGGGGAAACAGCCAAACCATGTCAAGACCAATGCAACAAACATGATAAAGGGTCTTAATCAGGGAGAGGCTAGAGAATATAATACATTAGTGAAACAAGGATATAATAAAAAAGAAAAAGAGGGAATGATCAGAGAACAAGAAGGGACTTCTTGAAAAATAAAAATATGTTAGCCAAAATTAAAAACAAATTAAAAATTAAGAGAGAAGGTCTTTTTTAAAAGAAGAAATATAGGATATCACTTGAAAAAATAGAACTAAAAAAAGAAGAAATAGAAACTAGAAAGAAGCCTATTTTTTTAAATTAGAGATTTAGTCCAGGAATCAAATATCTCAGTAATAGCAGGACCAGAAAACGAAAACTTGTAAATAGTAAGGAGGAAAACATCAAAGAAAATGTATAGGAAAATGTGTTAATAATTATTAATGCATTTCTCTTGATAAAGTTAACTTACAAAATGACCTAAGCCAAGGCACATTGTGAAATTTCAGGACACCAAGGGTGAACAGATGTTCCCAACTGTTTCCACAGAGGGGAAAAAAATGATATACAATAATTTAGAATCAAAACATTGTCACACTTCTTAATAGTAGTGTGGAAGACTAGATGACAATGAAACAATACCTTGAAAATTCTGACAAAATTTCTAATCTAAAATTCCATGCCTAATAGTAAAAAAAAAAAAAAAAAAGTAAAATAAAGTTCCAGATAGTCAAGCTCTCAATAAAATGTACATTGTATGTACCCCTTTTCAGCAAGCTACTAGAAAATGTGGTTCATTAAAACAGAAAGTAAATAAGAAAAAGGAATCAGTGGTATCTAATACAAGAGAAAAATTATTAGTATCATGGGAGAGGGATGTCTTAGGGCAAGAGCTGGGCAAAAGGCCTCGAAGGCATTGAGTCCATATTTTAGTAAAAGGTCAGAAAGCCCAGGACAGATGTCTCTAGGAAAGAAAAATGGAGCTGACCAATTATTTGAAAGTTTTCAGACAATGGAAAATTATATTGTAGTGCATTTTACGAGCTTTTGGGTAGGGAAAGGCTTGGATGTTAAAAAACGAACAGAAACCCTGATATCCAACACACTTCCCTCAGCAGTGAACGGTATATACAAAGCCACGAGAAAAGGATGGGAAAGGGAAGAGTGTATAAATGTACAAAAAAAGCCAAAAAGCTCTTCTCTCATAGTAGAAAGATAATAACGTCTAATATTTACAAATAAAGAGATATCAATCTACATTCATCATATAGAAAAACATTTTCAGGAAGTAAACCAATGTATTGAACAGCATTGACTTTGGTACACATATTTTCTTTCAGGGGTGTGGCAGTGTGTACAAAAAAGAGACTTTTAATATAATTGTATATCTTTTAGCATTATTTAAAATTTAAAGTTGATTACCTATAATATTGTTATATGAAAATCTTAAAAGGAGGGGAACAAGAATACATATTTGGGGCTAATCTGCTTCTCTTCATAAGGTATATATAGCTAAGAATCCTTCTTTGAAAAGCAATGCTTGAGAGAATGATTGGGCTGGGGCAAGTTTAGAGATCATTCAGTTCAACTTTCTCCTTTTACAAGTAGAGAATTTGAAGCTACAAGAAAGGAAGAGTGACATAGCAAGTCAATGTGAGAGCTGGGAAGTCCAGGCAGTGATTCCCTGTTTACTTCCCGTGTCTAAAGAAAGGAATAAATAGGAGCATAGAGAACTAGACAAAAGAAGTTGGTTTGGAGTTAGACAGATTGAGTTTAAATCTTGGCTCTTTGTGAAAAAAAATTCACAATTATTTTTCTTATTTGGAGCAATATTGACCAATTTTTGTTTAAGGACTATTTGCTTGTTTTTGTTTGTGTGTTCACATCTCTTACTCATTTTACTCCCACTTTATTGGGCTTCTTCTTTTTAGGTTTGTTATATATTAAGGATGTAAACCTTTTATTTGTGCTATAAGTTGTCAATCTTTTCCCTACTTTGTTGTTTGTCTTTTTACTTACGGTTTTTGATTTTCTACCAGTCTCTACTAAAAATACAAAAATTAGCTGGATGTGGTGGCAAGCACCTGTAATCCCAGCTATTTGGGAGGCTGAGGCAGGAGAATTGCTTGAACCTGGGACAGGGAGGTTGTGGTGAGCCGAGATTGTGCCACTGCACTCCAATCCAGACTGGGCGACAAGATTGTGTCTCAATCAATCAATCAATACGTATTTTGTCAGATTTATTAACCTCACCCCTTATTGCATGTAGATTTTTAGCTATAGTTAGGAATTACTTCCCCTTGGTTGTGCAGGAATTTACTCCTGTCATATGTATGGCATTTTAAATCTCTAATGCATTCATGAGGAAAAGATCTAATTTTTATTTTTTATGTGACTATCTGGTTAACCAAATATCACTCATTAAAAAGTCCATCTTTTCTCCCCTGGTTTCAAATACCACCTTTATTGTATGATAAATTTACATATCAAAGGATTTTATTGTACTATATCTCTCTTATTTCCCTTTATTTCTGAATTTCATTTGATAACAGTGAAAACAAGGAGTATGTGATGCAATAAGACCTTGTACACCAAAAACCTTTTTAATAGTAGTAGACAATTATTACATTATCTAAAAACTATTGTGTAAATAGTTCGTTAGTTATTTTGTTTAAATGAAGAAAATAAACACACTTTTTTGCATGTAGCAAAAGGAATGTGAACCTAACTAAAGAGACACTTATAAAAGTAAATTGTCTAAACTCTTTTTTGCTCAGAGCCTGAAGAGGGTTTTGTAGAGAAGCAGCCTGGTGCGATTAATACAGGGGGTCAGACTTTGAGGTCAGCATCCTGCCCCTCAGTAGCTGTTTTGTTGTGAGCGAGTTCTTAATTTCCCAAGACTTCTTTCCTTACATCTAAAATGGAGATAATAAAGTCATTCACGGATGTTGTGAGCACAGTTCTAAGTGCCATCATTCAGCATAGCATAGTGCCAGCACATAAAAGGCACTCGGTAAATGCCAGCCCTTTCCCTCCAGGGGAAGATGCATCTATAATTTTTACTATAAAATTTTCTCCAGCTAGTCATGAAAATAAGGATTAGCCTGTTTTTTACTCTGAAAAGCTGACTCAGTAAAAGGAGCAGATGAGAAATCAAGGTTATTTACTTTCCCATTCCCTGTCATTGTTGCTGCCTTCACTGGATAGCAGCCTTCCTAGGCTGTTTTCAGAACGAAACAGGAAAAGTGGGATGACAGCATCATGGGGATTGTTGACTTCTATGTGGCCCATGTAAGTCTAGAAAGAGGGGGAGAAATTCAGGAGGAGGATTAAGAACAGAGATTTTCCTTTCCTCTTCCTAATATAGTATTTGTTTTTAGCTTTCCTGTTCAAAGGGGCAATCTGGCCTATAATATTTTACTTTCTGTGGGCACAGTGGCTCATGCCTGTAATCCCAGCACTTTGGGAGACTGAGACGGGTGGATCACCTGAGGTCGGGAGTTCGAGACCAACTTGACCAACATGAAGAAACCCTGTCTCTACTAAAAATACAAAATTAGCTGGGTTGGTGGCACATGCCTGTAATCCCAGCAACTTGGAAGGCTAAGGCTGGAGAATCGCTTGAACCCAGGAGGCAGAGGTTGTGGTGATCCAAGATTGTGCCATTGCACTCGAGCCTAGGCAACGAGAACAAAACTCCTTCTCAAAAAAAATAAGTATTTTACTATCCAAAATTTACAGAAAATCTCCCTTTTACCCTGAGAGCCCCTCCCAACCCTGAAGTTGGTGAGGGAAAATTATAATTCATTACAATTTGTGTCTATTGAGAATGAAATAGAGATGTGAGCATTTTTTTTGGCAAAATCCAGTAAAGGTTATTCATCTTTTAGAATCCCCACATCTGATTTTTATTCAGAGTCCTATTTAGGCTTTATTTGGCCTAAGAATTTTCATAATTATCTCATTCGTAATAAGACTGTAGTAAGTATAATACAGTGAATATAGATATATTTAAGGAGATGTGTTTTTGAAACATTAAATCATATTTAGAGTTATTTTTATTTTCATGAATTATTGAAGCCCTACTCATTATTGTAATTCGTAATTTCATTCATTCCTTTTAAAATAAACTCTTTGAAAATAGTTCCTGTAACTCATCATTCAATGATAAGGATTGTTATTATGTGAAAATATCTTGAAAGGCACTACATGAATATGATTCAATCAGTTTTAATGCCGCCCTGATTAGATTATATGCATATGACACTTGAGGAAGTGTTTTCAAATACATTTTTATTTAATTTTTGCAACGGCATTGTGATATGTCAGTATTGTTAACCATCATTTATTGTTGAAGAGATTTTAAGGCCCAAAGAAGCTAAATTTTAAGTGGCTCAGGGCTACACAGCCAGCCAGAGTAACAGACCCGAAATTCTCATTTCAAATCTAGTGTTCTACAATGCTATAGTTTAGATATCCACATATGTTAATTTTTCCATACCAATATTGCATCAAATTTTCCATTAAATGAATCTTATGCTTTATTTGCAATATTCTATTTACAATCTTTCAATCTTGCTTAATTTTCTTAATTTAAATGTATAGCTAAATAGTCCTTCGGCATGAACAAATGAGAACTATTTAAAAGCATGAAAATTGCACCGTGAGTTAATAGGGAACTTAGTGCTAAGGCCTGGTTTTATTTTCCAGGTGGCATTGCATGCTTGCGGAGTGGCAACAGACATGGTGATTGAGCACTGTATCAAAACACGGGCTTCCTTCGTCACATGCCCTTGCTGTTATGGTTTCATTCAGAATACCTCAAAGTTCAATTTTCCAAAAAGGTGAGAAATTCAGTGTTCTACCTAAGACACCAACATGGGTATAAGCCAGGACACAAAGTTTGTTTAATACAAAGTTGCAATGAGATTTCATTTTGAGCTCATTTCTTCTTTCTACAATGCCAAATATTGTTTATAAATTGTACAAGGAAGAGAAGAACTCCTTTGTGTTTGTCCCTGATTTTTCTCCTGGATCCAGTTTTTGCTGAAATTTAGAAGCAAGGCTATCCAGGAGTCAGCCAACTAGAAGTCTATCAGCTTTAGCACTTCTCTCTGTATTTCTAAATAAAATTAAAACTATAATCGTAATATCTATGAGAAGGCTTGGTGGAGAATTTTAAGAACTTTCCATTGGTTGGAAGCTGGTAGATGAAACTAGCTGTCCTCCAATTGCAGCCATCCTGAGGACTCAAGTGTGTATCCTGGAGAGGTAGCCTATTCTATCTCCATGGAGAAATACTGAGGTTTTCTTTCTTTCATGAAGCCCTCCCACATCAGAGGGCCTCAACTAGACCAAAAATCTGGGGCCTTCTTGCTGTTGATTTGCTGCTTAGGCTGCCAGCATATTTCCTTTGGCTGTTTTATCCATCCCCTTTTCCCTTCTGGTGGCCTTGACAGTATATTACTACCGCTTCCTGTCTTTTTCATACCTCTTTTTTTTTTTTTTTTTTTTACATTATTCCTCCCTTGTCCTTTGATATCGTTAGAAAGCTTCTTTGTGAATAAGACTTGTCTCAATCACCAAAAACAGAGTTGGGAATTTATAAATAGCATACTGTTTCTACAGTACATGGAAAGAAGTACTCATTTCAAACAAACTAATTGGCACTAATGAATTTAGCATCATATGTATAAGTCTATGTTTTTGATTGACTTAAGAGTAAAGGCTATAGCATTAATAAAAGATGTTTATCAGATGTATGTTTATCTTTATTAGCTATGACAACAGTGATTTCCTGATATATTAATCATGCCTTTTTAAATTTTCTTATGTTTTATTGTTTACTGATCCTGGAGAGATTGTTCCTCCCAGGGCTAGCCAGTTCCTATAGATAGTAAAGGTCTTATCAACAAGCATACCTTGCATAAGCAAAGCAACCAACTGAGAGCCCTTACCCCACAAGTACCTCCTTTATCAAGCTCTTATTCCAGGCCAGCATCCCCCTGCCCAACTACTGTAGGCCAGATACCAAACAAGTAGGAACACCCCTCTGCCTGAGTTCACTGAAATTATTCAAACTAGCCACTCCCAAGTTTGCTTACCTCACCTGTCTCTTCCTATGGAAAGCTCTGCCTCCTGACCTATACTGGTGTTTCCCCATGTGGCCTTTTGTCACATGGCATGCCCCCTCTTCTTGGGGAACTGTGAGTGATAAAGTATCTTTTCAGTGGCAGCCCTCTCCTGATCTATTGGTTGTGCCACACCTGCATAACAGTAAAACCCACCTGTTAAAACACCTGGATCTGGGTGTTCCCAAGAGGGGAAGAGAAAAAAAGGTGCTTCTCTAACAGTGTAAACAATCTGTGAAATAGATTTCTTAAAATTAATAACATACTGATGATACGCTTTTCTATCTTTTTATAAAAGCATTTCAAACTGGCATAGTTTTTACTTCAGCATAGCATTTTATGCTTTTACATACAAAACATTTTTATTTATAATTTAGTTTCTTCGAGATTATTTTACTCTTAATATTTAGTATTTAAAATGATGACTAATTCCTTTTTTTTTTCTGTTTCAGTGAACAATTCAAGAAAACTTTATCATACAAGGTAACCTTAAAAAGATCTAGATGTCATCCTAATACACTTTTTATCCTTTGTATTTCTCACTCTCATATATCTAGTGGAGTAAATATAGTTATAACTGAATAACTCATGAACGTCTAATATGGCTTGCTTTTGCAAATCCAGATTAACTATTCAAGTAGGTAACAATATTTGTGAAGGGTCTGAGATTTTAACTCTACTTGCAATCTAACAAGTTAGCCTGCCAGTGGATGCTGGCAGAAGATATGAGACCCCTGAGTTAGAGACGAAAGACAGTTTGTTGCTCATGGCAATAGTGGTAACCACAATACCATTGTTTTCACACTGACTCTCTGCTGTCCACTTCCCACAGGGCAGAAGCAGATGGGCCAGGTAATACCTGCCCTTTTGTTCCAGAGGGAGATAATATGTATTTTCCAAGGCTGTTTACTCTGCAAACATGCTTGAGAAGATAATCTAGAACAGACAAAAATTATTTTGTAAAAGGTCAGATAGTAAATATTTTAGGCTATGCTGGCCACAACGAATCTACCAGTATTCTTCTTCATTGTCCTTGACATTCTTATTGTTTTTGTTGGTGGTTGTTTACAACTCTTTAAAAATATAAAAACTTCCTTAACTCACAAGGCTGAATTTGGCCTGTGGGCCATACCTTGCTAACTACTGGTCTGGAACAAAGACACTCAGTGTCTTTCCTTGTAGAACATGAAGAAACACAAGAGACCCACGTAGAATTGTCTTTCAAAAGTAGTCAGAACATATATAGTTTTTAGTCACCAATCTGATCAAAACAGTTTCTAGCTTCCTAAACATCACCACTATCAAATTAACTGGTCAATAGCATGATATAATACAGTTTAAGAAATGATAATATTTAAGAAAAATATATAAATAATTCCTTTAGAAGTTGATAAATTCATTTGGATTCTTAGTTAATGCCACTTTTTGCACAGATTCACTAAAGATGTAGTCTCATTTTACATACCAGCCCCTATATTTTAGGACTTTTACTTTCTTCTCCATCAAACAATTGAAATATAGTATAGTGACCTTAAAAGTTCGTTGCAACCACCTCATTAGCTATATCTCCTTCATCCCTGATTTATAACTCTTAAATGCCCACTTCCAGTTCTGTCTCTTACCACCTTATGTGCTACCCACACCTACCCCCCTTCCTACCATCCCTGCACCCTGTACAAATATACACATATATGGAGAGGTATGGTGAAAGGAGGACTTACAGTGTTCATGCTTTCAGCCAAAACCACAACATTGCTGGCCTTTGCCTACTAGATTACAAAGTGTACATATTTTAGGAAACTATATAATTCTAGAGGAAGCATTAGGACCCAAGAACCTTTATTTGCATAACATTCAAAACATCTCACCTTTCTCTCACAAGGCTATGCCAATAAATTAGAAAATAAATTGGGATAACAGGCCAAGCTAAGTGGCTCAAACCTGTAATCTCAGCACTCTGGGGGGCTGAGGCAGGCGGATCACTTGAGAACAGAATTTGAGACCAGCCTGACCAACATGGTGAAACCTCATCTAACAAGGTAGGCTGCCAGTGGATCCTGGCAGAAGATATGAGACCCCTAATAATAATTCTAATTATCCTTTGGGAGGCTGAGGCACACGAATCGCTTGAGCCTGGGAGGCAGAAGTTGCAGTGAGCTGAGACTGCACCACTGCACTCCAGCCCGAGTGACAGAGTTACACTCTGTCTCAAGGGAAAAAAAAAAAAAAAAAAAGCAAAGAAAAAAAATTGGGAAAACGAAACTAGCCCCCTGTTTCTGATCCCTCCTTAAGTGATGTTAGTTAAACCAAACAATGAGAGGATGTATGGAAAAAATCAAGGGTGGTGAAGAGATAGGCTGCCCATGTGCTCCTGGCTAGAAAATAATGTAAAATTTCTACAGTGGGGATGGGGCATACAAAATCTTTTAGAAAGCAGAAACTCCCCAGTGCACCAGTCATAACCTTTATCTACTCTTTCTCCAATATCCCCCAAAACTGCTTGGACTTTTGAAGGTCTCAGAACTTTGTGCTCAAATATCTTGAGAGTCACTTTGGAAGTGTTTTTCTCTACAGTTCAATTTAGACAGCAGCCTTTACTGAGTGCTAACCATGTGCCTTGCCCTTTCAGAACTTGATTTTGACTAAAGAGAACATGCACACAAATAATTCCAATAAAAAATGGTGAGACTTATCAGTACAAGAGAACTGAATCTTATGTGAGATTATAATTCACTTGATATTACCATTATATAAAATGAATTTTAATTTACAAACACCATGAGCACAAAGTGCATGCTTTTTCTTCAAGTCGTGTAATTCTCAATTATCCTTCTCTCCCTTCATTGATGCTTGTTAGTTTGTGGGGACTTAAAGTTATTAATTCAAACTATTTTATTAGTTTCTCACCCATTGTCATGAAATTTTATAGTGAGCATTAAAGTGTTTTTTTTAAAAAAAAACATAAAAGTTGAGACAAAGATATCCCTTTTTAAAAAACCAACATTGCCACAATCATTTCACTTATTAAAAATGGAGGCTTCAAATGTAATGTACAGAATACTAAAGGAACAATTGATGAATCTGAGTTTAACCTGTTTGCTAAGCTGACAGGTGAGATCATGTACACACTTAGAAACGACAGCTGTTCTGGAAGAACAGTTGTCAAAGGATCATTGCTTCATTTCTACTCTGCCTAATCACTCACTTTTGGCTACATGCAGATTTAAAAGTACTGTGCAAAATCATCAACTCTGTGCTTTTAAAACCTTCTTTTCTTTTTCATTAATATACTCTCTCCTAAAGTTGTTAAGCAGTAGTAATAATCAGGTCTTTCCCTCAGGCCATCTTTACAGTTTGTCTTAAAGCAGAAAGGGATACACTTCCTGCAGCCTTTTAGAGTGAGAGGAAGAAATTCAGGTTTCTCTCCTCTAAAAGGACTGAGTGAAGGGAAGACTCGGGAAAAACCAAGAACTAACTAGCACTCTGCTGGATATACCAGGGAATTACAGAAGCCACAATGATCTGCATTGCTTCCTTTTCCTCTGATAAAATGAAAAGCCACTTAGCAGGCCACATGCGATGGCTCACGCCTATAATCCCAGCACTTTGGAACACCAAGGCAGGAGGATCACAAGGTCAAGAGTTCAAGACCACCCTGGCCAACATGATGAAACCCCATCTCTACTGAAAAAAGAAAAAATTAGCGGGGCATGGTGGTGTGCGCCTGTAGTCCCAGCTAGTTGGAAGGCTAAGGCAGGAGAATGACTTGAACCGGGGAGGCAGAGGTTGTAGTGAGCCAAGATCACACCACTGCATCCAGCCTGGGTGACAGAGCAAGACTCCATTTCAGAAAAAAAGAAAGAAAAGAAAGAAAGAAAGAAAGAAAGAAAAGCCACTTAGTAAGACTGCCTGGAGCCACATTCCAGAGTTTCAAATACATTTTGTAATAAGTAAATTTTAGGTCTTTTAATTTAACACATTATAATAGCAAAATATAACCATATTTTTATATTTCAGCTAAAAGCAACTGGGCAAAATGTCTCTGAGAATTTTCTGTGTATCTGTTCTTAAGAACTACATCTGGGCCAGGCACGGTGGCTCATGCCTGTAATACCAGCACTTTGGAAGGCTGAGGTAGGCGGATCACTTGAGGCCAGGAGTTCAAGACCAGCCTGGCCAACATGGTGAAACCTTGTCTCTACTTAAAAAAAAAATAATAAATTAGGCAGGTGTGGTGGCACATACCTCTAGTTCCAACTATATGGGAGGCTGAAGCATGAGCATCACTTGAGTCTGGGAGGCAAAGATCGCAGTGAGCTGAGATCACACCACTGCACTCCACCCTGGCGACGGCGAGACTCCGTTTCAAAACAAAACAAAAAAACACAGCATACCTGAAGGAAAGAAATTATTAAGTACCATTTTCTGAAAGTTTACTTTTTTTAAAAGTAGTATTCATGTAGTACTTTATTCAGTTAAACAATGTTGAACTTCAGAAAAATGAGGTAGCTTTTTGGTTGTTGTTTTTACAACTTTGAAGCAGAAGATAAAAATAAACCAACATCCTATTGGTTTTTCTTTTAGGAACACATGATTCTGTGCAGATTTGCAGACCAGACAGCTGCCCAGCTCCCACCCCAACGAAGGCTCATAGGTATGTGTTTTCATAGAGCAACTGTTGAGTATATTATGCATACTATGACAGTGAATGATTGGACCAAGTCTATATGGGAAAAATTTATCAACAAGAAGTCTGTTTTTCAATAAGAAACTAAATATATTCTTCCCAAAAAATTCATATTGAAAAGGGTTTTGTAACTATAACATTTTATCCTATTTTGGTTAACTTTAATAATTTTGAATGTATTTTCAATGTTTGTAATTTGAGTACAATTCTTAGGTTAAATCTCTTTCTTACCATTATGAACAAACTGCAAGATCTATCAAAAGCTACAAAAGAAAATATTAAAGATGAAAAAGTTAACTATATATGCCAAAATTGATGCATTATAAAATGTATACACAAGGATGATAATGTTTTCTTTCTCAGGAAAGAGGATACTTAGGCATTATTTATCATAGACCAATTTATTTGACATTTGCAGTATTAAACATTACTTAAATTGGAAGACTACAGAAGCATTTCAAGTTTAATAAGTAATTGATTTATTGAAGACTCACTTTAGAAAAAGAAATCACATTTAAAAGAATAATAGCAGTTAATAGTTACATTTAAGCACTGAGCTAAATGCTCTCACCTGTTATCTCAGTAAATTCTTACAAATATACATATGGGGTAGGTACTATTATTTACATTTTAATGATAAGAAAACTGAGACAAAAGCTTGCCTGGGGTCCTTCATCTAGTAGATAATGGAGCTATACTATGAACCCAAATTATTTGATTCTGGACATAAAGTTCTTGTCCATTTTAGTTACTGCTTCCCAGCATACTGATGTTACATCAGAGTTTAAGAAAAATGGGTTCAGTCAAAACTAATCTTAAAATTATTCAGAGAAGCCCAACACTGGACACCATCATATTTTTTCTCTAAATTTCCAGTGTAGCCCCTTTTCCTCCATGGTATACTAGAAAACAGATTGTTGTTTCTTTGGCTGAGCACCAAATGCAGCTTACATTCAGAGACCAAGTTGTATGAGAAATCATTATCTTTAAAATCAAAGGCAGCATAGCAAGATGCTCACACTTGGAGAAGCACATGAGATCTGAGACTGAGGGAGTAAATGATTTCCTTCTCTTTCTCACTCTCTGCAGTGTAAACATTTGGAAAGGACTCATTCTCTTCTTCCTACAACCTCTTTGTCTTTCAATGCCTTTCCTTCTTGCTCCTCCTTTTCCCATCTCTAGCACTTTGAATTAATCGAATATACATTTGAAGAGATTCCACTCACTAGACCCATGTCTTAGTCTGTTTTGCACTGCTATACAACATAGTACCATAAACTCAGTAATTTGTAATGAACAAACATTTATTCAGCTCACATTTCTGAAGGCTAGGAAGTCCAAGATCAAGGGGCTGGCATCTGGTGAGGGTCTTCTCCCTGCATCATAACATGATGAAAGCAGCACATGGTGAAGTCAGAGATTAAGAGAAGGCTGAATGTGTCCTTTTATAAGGAATCCACACTCTAGATAATGAACGATGATAATGGTATTCATTCATTCACTCCACCCTCTTGGCTTAATCACCTCAAATGATAGCAATCCAGTGAAGACATAATCAATATGGTGGATGGATGGGTACATGGTAGATGTGTGTTTTAGGTATCAAATTAAAGGGGAGTGGCTGAAAGGGAAATTGCTAGAGTGGCGGGGGGCATTTGGCACTGGGAAGAATGGGGGGAATCACATTGAGAGAAAGCTGTCACATGTCTACATCTCTGCGTTACACAGGCCATTCCTGTGTTCTGTGAATATTTTTAGGAAACTCCCCAGGCCCACAAAGGTAGACTACCAGCAGCTAAATTTCAGTTGTAGACACTTCAACATGTTGAAGCATGAAATTCTTCTACATAATGGAAAAGGAAAAATTAACCGGACTGGGATCAAAGCCAAGGGTAAATGAGCTGCAATGTAAACCCAGGGTGGGTACTAAAGGAATGTAGAGCATCCCATTCTGACAGATAATGTTTCATTTGAAACTAAAAAGTAGATGGGAGAAACCTTTACAGATGTCTTAAAGGAAGGACAGTATTTTATGGGGGAAAAAAAGAATGTCAGCTACAAGACTGTTAATGAAGAAGGGATGGTTTTGCCTAAATGGAATTCTAGACGTCTCTTTTTATTTCATTTCTAATACAGTTTAATCTTGGTGGGATGGGTCCTTTTAAGGAAAATGTACAAAGTAAACATTTTAAATATGAGTTTCTCATTGCTAATTCTTACCTACTGATTTCACCTTTCACTGTTTTTTTTCTGTGAAGATTCTGTTGTTCATAGAACTTTTCTATTTCAGTGATCTGTCTTCATTTCTGAATTGTCTTAGTTTATCAGTTTCCACTGTCAGTCAGATAATGTTTAGGCAGTATTATAATTGTTTAGGAAAAATAGAATGAAGTTTTGCATGGTCACTGATCTTTTTCCAGGAGGATGAAGAAGCTTATATATTGAATTTAGAGCAATTGAAAGTATAAAAAAGTAAACTGTGGCTTTGAATATATTCAGCCCTAGATCATTTTTCCCAAGCTACTTTTAAAGTTTGTGTTTGCCAAAGGAAAACAAGTTAACCACTTTGCTTGCCACACAGGTTTCCTCTTTTGTCTTCCAAAGATTGTAAAGGAAATAGAATACCACTATTTTACGGATACAGGAGCATGGAAAATAAGAGTATATTACACTCAACATTACATGTCCACTTGAAATGAGTGCCATATAACTGAGAATTTTCTCAAATATTTTTCATTTCTCACTTCTTCGTAGCCCTAAAAAACTTCAGCTGGAAAGCTATTTTCTTTCAGACGGAAAAGCTAAGATCTTTCAGACGGCCCTTAATCAGCATGTTATTTTAAATATTCTTAAAGACATATTTTTTTTCTGCAGTGTTACAGATAATGTAGTTTTACAGGGAAAGCAGAGAAAAGGTCTTTAAATGTATTTTTAACCGAAATAGGAAATAGAATCTGAGGCTCCAATTTGAGATTTATTTCTAAATACATTTGAAAAAGTTAACATTCTTTAAATTATTAGCAGAGGCGAATATATGAAGTGCCATGTTTTTGTCACCATCATCTTTCCACCTTGATCAAGAATGAAATGGAAAGAAACTAAACAAGACTTGGGGATATAAAGCATGCTCCATAGTACTTGCAGATTTTGTCACTATATAGATTCCCTTAAACAAACCAAAATTGCCTTCCTAGTGAAAGGGTTTCTCATGATGTCATTTGACTATATTTCAGGAAAACAGTGCATGTGCTTGGTGGATCTGGATCGAGCAAGAGCTGCAGAAGAATGTGGCTACTCCGTTCAAGTGATATCCATGGAGCCAGAGAGCTGCTCTCCCAAAAATAACATGATTGTGGGAATCCCCATTTAAAATGAGATATTCACATTTGATATTTTGCCATCTGTCTTCACGTTGGATGCCCAGTGGCATTCAGGAGGTTCTTAGCATAACTAGGAAACAGCATTAGCCATCTTGAATCTATTGTGCTCAGGAAGAAAAGCAACAGGAAAATCTTAGAAGAAAGGCTTCCTGCACAGCATCACAAATGCTCTTACAATGTGTGATTAAAGGACTGCTGGTTTTCATAGTGAGAATCCCCTGAAGTCTCAGCTGCCAAAAGAATAATGCTAGTGGAGATTCCATCACAGGAATAACAATTTCCTTCTCACTTCACAAGCTCTTCTGATCTTGCCAATGTGATGTTTAATTCAAAACAGTGTACTTACAGCCTTTATTTTATACTTATTTAGATATTCACATGGGGACTCAAACTAGACTCGGAGTTTTTTTGTTTTTTATATTTTTAACAATTGTACTTTTTCTATAACTTTAAAAAATCTAGTCAGGTAATTATAGTATAATTATTTTTAAGCTGGGGTTAGTTGAACTTGTATAGCATTTGATATACTCCTTTTAAATATATTTCTGCCAGGCATGGAGGCTCATGCCTGTAATCTCAGCACTTTGAGAGGCCAAGATGGGAGGACCATTTGAGCCCAGGATATCAAGACCAGCCTGGACAACATAATGAGACTTCATCTCTACCAAAAATTAAAAAATGAGGCAGGATTGAGCCCAGGAAGTCAAGGCTGCAATGAGCCGAGGGCATCACGGCACTCCTGGCTGGGTGATGAAGTGAGACCCTGACTCAAAATAAATGAATGAATGAATGAATAAATAAATAAATTTCCCGTAAATTACCAAATGAGATAATCACTGGCTCAAATTATTAAATAATTGCAACAAACTTCCTATTGTGGGAATGTGGAATTTGGACACAAATTTTAACAATAAGGTATGTTGGTCAATAAATTTAAGTTTGTAAGTAATTATTAAGGATCTAGTATTTTCAAGACCTTGGCCTAGATTCTTTTCAAGATTCAAAGATGAGATGCAAAAGGTATAATGTTTTGCCTATGGAAGTAAATCATCTAGAAGGAAAAGATTAAAGAATTAGTTCTTTATATTACAGTGTATTGTCACAGGATTTGTAATTCAGATGTCAATCATTTATAAATTCTTTTTCTGCCAGCCAACATTTTAAAAGACAAATGATGCATCATATCTCAATGCTGCTAATTCTTTAACTTTTACATGTCCCAAGTATTCCATTTGAGATTTATTTCATTGATTTTGATGCTTTTAACCCCAGTGTAACATGTATCATGAGGAGAAAGCACTTTCATTGATCATCACTGTGGATTAAAAAATAGGAATATTTTACAAGGCAGTATTGGTGGCGTGGAAGACATTTTGGAATCTTGTTTTCAGGGATAAATTTTTTAAAAAGAATTAGCCATTAGCCCCGAGTATTTTAGTCATTTGTGCCCGTAGATAACAACATGCTCTTTTATTCTGGACTTTTTCTTTTCATTGAGGTTTAATTTATATACAATAACAGAATTTTAAGTATTCATTTGAAACGTTTTGACAACCATATGTATCTACACATGCAACCATCACTGAAATCAGATATAAAATATTCCCATCAAATGCTTTCAGGAAAACACATTGAGAATATTTTGCCAGTCTGTGGCTTACCTACTTATTTTCATAATTAATGTTTTAATTTTGATGAAGATTTAATTTACCCCTTTAATGATTAATATTTTCTATGTCCTTTCTAATAAAGTTTACCAACTCTAAGGTTATAAAGATTTCTCCTAAGATTTTTTTGTAGAAACCTTATGGTCCTAGCTTATTATATTTAGTTCTATGAAAACTCACATATAGAGGTAGGTAGATTTTGAGGAATATATAGTTGTTTCAGCATCATTTAAAAAATCCCTTCCTCTCCTCATTGAACTGCCTTGGCCCCTCTGTTGAAAATCAGTTGATATGTATGTATGGGTCTATTTCTGAATTCGCTCGTCTTTTCCATGAATCTATTTATCTTATTGCTATAGCTTTATAGTAAATCTGGAAATCAGGTAGTTTGTCTTCCAGTTTTATTTTTCATTCTCTATTTTGGCTGTTCTGGATCCATTATATTCCCATGTAAATCTTAGAATTGGCTTGTCGATTTCTTTTTTAAATTTTATCAAAAAAGCTTGCTAAGAATTTTCGGATTGCCTATTCTCTTTAGATCAATTTGAGGAAAATGAATATCTTAACAAGATTGAATCTTATAATCTATGTATATATCTTTCCGTGTGTTTAGGTCTCCTTTAATTACTCAGAAATATTTTCTAAGTTATTTTCTGTGTAGATGATTTGTTTTATTTATTACGATTTTACTGTGAGCTTTTTACATGCTGTTCCCTGTACTTAGAATAACCTCTTTTTGCCCCTCCCACTAGCTTAATGTCATTCATCCTTCTGCTCTGAGACTTGACCTCCCTGGAATTAGGTATCTGTTATAAAATGTCTACCATCCAGAGTAGTCTTCTCAGTCCTCCCCAGGTGACTCAAGGTACACACTCCTGCCCCCTGCTTCGCCACCACCAAAAAAACAAAACAAAAAAAAAAGCTCATCCGATAAGTATGGAGAACAAAAATAGAAAGAGGGGCCAGGCGCAGTGGCTCACATCTGTAATCTCAGCACTTTGGGAGACTGAGGCAGGTGGATCACTTCAGGTTAGGAGTTTGAGACTAGCCTGGCCAACATGGCGAAACCCTGCCTCTACTAAAAATACAAAAATTAGCTCGGCAGTAGTGGTGTGTGCCTGTAATCCCAGCTACTCAGAAGGCTGAGGAAGGAAAATCGCTTGAACCTGGGAGGTGGAGGTTTCGATGAGCTGAGATCGTGCCACTGCACTCCAGTCTGGGAGACAGAGTGAGACCTTGTCTCAAAAAAAAAAAAAAAAAAAAAAAAAAAAAAATAGAAAGGGGACCCATTGCTCTCCCACCTTTGTTCTTGGCATGGCATTCTCCAGCTGTGATGGCTTTGGTTAGTAAAAGATACAGGTTTTGTGACTGCTCTTTGGGCATTATTTTTCTGTGTAAATCCTTGCCAATGCTTCTTTCCCAGCCAGGGCAAATAAAAGTGGTTGGATACAGAGAGCAGGAAGATTGTTGCAATGATAAAAGCCCAACAAGTGACCTGATCTTACCTTCATCTTTGTCCATCAAAAGCAAAGCTGCTGCTCACTGATGTATCTCCCGCAAGGTTGTAATAATATTAGAAACCACAGCTTATCTTTCATTGGCTTTTGAGCCTGACTCAGAGAAACAAGGGTATAATTATTAATAACTAAACTGCCTTATTTTGGGAGACAAATTTCAGTCATATTAGATATCAAAACATTTTCAGGGCACATTTGCAAGGTAATATGTAAGTAACACCAGTTAAACATTTAGTTTCATTCTAAAGATTTTGGCTACAGGTGTTGCCCATTCCATGGTTCAAGAAAATTGCTATTAATAGAGCTTTCACATATTGAAACCTATTTTTCTACTGACCTACATAATGAAATTAGAGATACATTTCTGTAAAGTGATATGAAATTATAATAAAGTGATACATTTTAAATTCTAATTTTTTAAAAGAAACTATCAATACAAAAGTAGTTTGGAGTTTTTGAATACAATTTTTTTCTTTTTGAGACAGGGTCTCTGTCATTCAGGTGAACAGAGCTCACTGCAGCCTCCACCTCCCCAAACTCAAGCGATCCTCCCACTCAGCCTCCAGAGTAGCAGGGACTACAGGCCCATGCCACCATGCCCAGTTAATTTTTGTATTTTTTTGTAGAGATGTTTCATCATGTTGCCCAGGCTGGCTTTGAACTCCTGGGCTCAAGCAGTCTATACCTCAGCCTCTTAACATGCTGGGATTACAGGTGTGAGCCACTGTAACCAGCTGAATACACATTTTTAATTACAAAGAAATACATATTTGTTGTAGAAAAGAAGATGTGGCTAAACAAAAAGAAGAAAATTCTTAAATTCACTGTGTTAATACTTTGTTGTATGCCTACCAGACTGTTTTTATAAATAAAAACATACACACACACACACACACACCTTTTTTTTTATTTATTCATTTTTTATTTTATAGAGACAGGTCTTGAACTCCTATGCTCAGGCAATCCTCCCACCTCAGCCTCCCAAAGTAGTGGGATTGCAGGTGTGAGCCACCTCAACTGGCCCACCCAGATTTATTTAACAAATATTATTACAGTACTTAATATTTGCTAGGCACTATTCTAAGTCCTTTACAAATAACCCATTTCATCTTTTAAGTCATTTATTCCTCATAATGACCCTATGAACTAGGTACCATTAATAATCCTATTTTACAGAAACAGAGGCTGTATTTACACAATAAATGCTGACTTGTATTTGAATTCAGCCAGTAATTGGTAGAACTAATACTCAAATTCAGGCTATTTAGCCATCCTATCGGGATTGGCTGGAATAAACTACGATAACAGAATCTCTGGGTCTTTACCCAAGAAAGATATTGTTTTCACTCATACTACATATCTGTCCAAATTGCTATGACTATTCCACATTATCTTCATACCATTACTTAGCCTGACTGGTCAGCCTCTGGGAACATAGGTGGTCTCCTGGCAAGGGAAAAATTGGCATGGCAAACTACCAGCTAGTTATTGAAGATTCAGCTCAGATGTGATACACATCGTTTTCCTTATTTTATTGGCTAAAGTGAGTTATATAGTGCCTCCTAATATTAAAGAGTGGGAATATATAGCTTTATATAATAATGTACTACCAACAATGTAGTAGAAGGAAGAAAGGGAAGGAGAGATTAAGGGAAAAAGAACAAAAGTAAAAGACCATCACATATTCCATTTTGGAAATAGAGTTCTTAAATGCCATTGACTTGGTGTAGGCCATTCTCTCTAATCCATCAGAGAAGGAAGGCATGTGCCACAGGCATTTCCTGCTATGATTATCCCCACCTTATCTGCAAAAGATATGTTCCAAGACCTCCAATAGATGCCTGAATCCTTAAATAGTACTGAACCCTATGTATACTGTTTTTCATTCTGATAACCAAGATGGCTGTTAAGTGGCATGGTTAGCTTATGTAGTGTGGATGCACTGGACAAAAGGGTGATTCCAGTCCTAGGCTGGATGGAATGGGACAGCACAAGATTTCATCACACAGAATAGCATGAAATTTAAAACTTATGAATTATTTATTTCTGGAATTTTCCAATTAATATTTTCCAACCACCAATAACTGAAACAGTGGAAAGTGAAACCATGATTGAGAGGGAATTAAATGTATTGCTTTGTGAACTTTCACACTTACTTTGGAAAAGGCATTTTGAAGGTTGAAGAAACATTAAATGGAGTTTCAAATTTGCAAAGCCTGTTTTTGACTCAAATATTAAAGCATTTGATCTATAATACCAAATATTCCTTTAAGAAGGTACAAGGTTACACTTCTATGAGGAATATATGAGTATTTATTTCCTACACCCTTCATCGATAGAGGCATTATCAAATGTCTTTTTAAATATTGGCAATTTAATAGGCAAAG